AACTGAACAACAACGGAGCCGCGGCAACCTCTTTTATAGCGGCTGTTCACGGCTCTCGGCCAATGACGGCTATTCAAGTTTCCCGCCGTCCGGCCGACCAATCAGAACAGCAGATAGGGTGATCCTACATCTGAAGGGGCCAGATCAAAACTATATGCTAGAATCATGAAATAGATTAATTAAGGGGCTGGATCGAAACCATTTGCTAGAATCAGGAAATCAATTAATTAACATAGTTCTAGTTGATGGACAAAAGAAAGAAAGAAAGAAACAATGAACAGAGTCACAATTCACATAATTTTTTTGTGGGTTCACCTATTCATCCATGAGATTTACAGCTCACCTGGCTGCATTTTGGTGCTTGCGGCCACCACAGTCATATGATAGAAATTTACTCCATTTATTCCAGAAACGTGTTTATTTCTTATTTCCAACAAAAACAAAAACAACCCCATAGTGAATAATGGATTTGCTTAATGGCTACTATCTTTGCTTTACAATACTGCATTTGCTTAAGGACTTCCTTAAGCAAAAAAATAATAATTGTGAAATCGGGCATGAATGGTCATGTGATTTCCCGCTTTACGACTTTCATGACTTAAGGCATAAAATTGCAGGCTTAATTACGGTTGTAAGTCGAGGATTACCTCTATTAAAAAATGTCTTCTACAGCTCTTTTTCTGAACTTTTTTCAAACTGCACTTGCTTTTGATTCTTTCTGCTGCTTAATTTTATTTGACATTAGACTGGAGGTTTGATTATCATTGTGGGTCCAGTGTTGGTTAAATTGCAAAGAACAATGAATGAAACATAACAGAGGTAGTATTCAGCAGATTCTGACCAGTTCTGGAGAACCGGTAGAGGAAATTTTGAGTAGTTTGGAGAACCGGCAAATACCACCTATGACTGCCCGCCCCAATCTATTCTCTGCCTCCCAAGTCCCAGCTGATTGGCTGGGTCTTCTTTTGTTGCCCTGCACAGGAGAATGGAGCTGGAAAGCAGGTTAGTGGGGTGGGGAGGGAATGGGATTTTGCAGTAACCTTCCCCCAGGAATGGGGAGGGAATGGGGATTTTACAGTATCATTCCCGTGCCACCCCCACCAAGCCAGCCCCACCAAGCCACACCCATAGAACCGGTAGTAAAAAATTTTGAATCCCGCTACTGAAACATGACCATTGACAATGCCTGTCTTGTGATTTCCCCCCCCCCAAAGAAATTTAGGAGTTTTTGTTCTGAGACGGACATCTTTAAATCAGATTATGCAGGTAGTCCTTGACGTACGACCCCAATCGAGTCCAAAACTTCCATTGTTAAGCGAGACAGTTGTTACATGACTTTTGGCCCTGTTTTAGGACCTTTTTTGCAACAGTTGTTACGGAAATCACCACAGTTGTTAAGTTAGTAACACTCAGTGAATCTGGCTTTCCTGCTGACTTTGTCAGAAAGTCGCAAAAGACAATCACATGACCCTGGGACACTGCAACCATCATAAATAACATGTGGGTTGCCAAGCATCTGAATTTTAATCACGTGACCATGGGAATACCACAAGGGTTATCAGTGTGATAAATGGTCATAAGTCACTTTTTTTTCCTGGGCCATTGTAACTTTGAACAGTCACTAAATGAACGGTTGTAAGTCAAGAACTACTTGTCCTACCTTGAGTCTGCCTTCCATTGAAGACCTGTATACTGCACGAGTCAAAAAGAGGGCTGTGAAAATATTTACAGACCCCTCACATCCCGGACATAAACTGTTTCATCTCCTTCCCTCAAAACGACGCTATAGAGCACTGCACACCAGAACAACTAGACACAAGGACAGTTTTTCCCCAAATGCCATCACTCTGCTAAAAAACTAATTCCCTCAACACTGTCCAACTATTTACCAAGACTGTTTTACTATTCTTCTCACCCTTCCTATTACCCATCTCCTCCTACTTAGGACTACAACCTTGTTGCTTGTATCTTTATGATTTATATTGCTTTATTTAGTTTCCTAGTATGATTTGATTGCATATTTAATATCCTATGACTATCACTAAGTGTAGTATCTTATGATTCTTGATGTACACTGAGAGCTTATGCACCGAAGCCAAATTCCTTGTGTGTCCAATCACACTTGGCCAATATTCTAGTCTAGTCTAGGCCTGGCCAGTTCAGTCCAGTCCAGTCCAGACCAGGCTGCACTCCACATTGCTCACATTGCAGCACTGGTCAGAAGGGCCCAGCAGAGATTATACTACCTGAGACTTCTCAGAAAACAACTGAATGAAAAACTGCTGGTGACATTCTACTGCTGCACCATAGAGAGTATTTTAACTTACTGCACCTCTGTATGGTTTGCCAATTGCACAGGGGCAGATAGAAAAGCACTCCAGAAGGTTAACGTCATAGCCCAGAAGATCATGGGTTGCCCTCTCCCCTCTTTGGAAGAGCTTTTGAGCTCCCTCTGCCTTAAGAAAGTTCAAAACATTCTTAAAGATCCATCTCATCCTGGGAACCCTTTTTTTGAACTATTACCATCTGGCAGACGGTACAGGATAATAAAAACAAGCACAAATAGGTTGAAAAACAGCTTCTATCCCAGGGCAGTAGCTCTTTTGAATTCTGCTGTTTAGTGCAGTGTTGGTGTGGTGTCGGGGGTTTTCGGTTCAATGTGTGGAGGGTGAAGGATTGTTTGTGTTTATTTTCATGGTCATGATGTGCACTGAAGATGGTGTTTGATTTCGTTGTAGGAGGTGCAATGATAAAACTAAACTAAACATTTTCTATTCTATTTGATTCTACTCTACTCTCTCTTATTCTATTCTATTCTATTCTATTCTATTCTATTCTATTCTATTCTATTCTATTCTATTCTATTCTATTCTATCAGAGAAGATATTCTCTCAAACAATCTTTATTTTTGATTAATTCATGTTTTCTGTACAATTTTTGTGTCTCCAAAGAGCCTAATTTTCTGAGAGTGACTGCATTAGAAGAGTGAAAATTCCTTCAGTCATGTTCACCAGCATATGTCCGAGAAAGCAGAAATTAGCAGTGGTCGTTTTCTTATTCATCAGCGGCATCATTCTGTTATGGGAGAAATTCAAACAGTGAGTACTGTTTATAACTCTGTATTTCTTTGAGCAAACTGGGTAGGAAGCCACATTTTTTTTTAATTAGACATTTTCAGTGTAAGTACTACAGATAGTCCTTGATTTACAACAGTTCCTTTAGGGACCGTTCGAAGTTACAATGGGGCTGAAAAAAGTAACAAGACTGTTTTTCACCTTTCGACCACTGCAGGAGCCCCCTGTGGTCACGTGACCAAAATTCCGACACTTGACAACTGATTCATATTTATGACTGTTGCAGTGTCCCAGGGTCATGTGATCCCCTATTGTGACCTTCTGACAAGCAAAGTCCATGGGGAAGCCTGATTCACTTAATGGTGTTACCAACTTAACAGTTGCAGGGATTCACTGAATAACCATGACAAGACAGATCGTGAAATGCAGCCAAATTCACATAACCAATGTCTCACTTACCAACAGAAATCTTGGGCTCAATTGTGGTCATACATTGAGGTCACGCGACCCCCCCCTTTTGTGACCTTCCAACAAGCAACGTCAACGGGGAAGCCAGATCCACTTAACAACCATGTTACTAAGTTACTAAGTTAACGGCTGCCAGCTTCACTTAACAGCTGTGGCAAGGAAGATCATAAAACAGGACAAAGGTCACTTAGCAAATATTTCGTTTAGCGGTGGAAATTTGGGGCTCAGTTGTGGTTGTAAGTCCAAGGACTAGCTGTATTAATATAAGAGTCAAGGTTGTGTTTTTTGAGGTGTGGCCAGTGGTGGGATTCCGAATTGCCTGCTATCGCCCTCGGTGAGGTGATCTTTTTTTTTTTTTTTTAGCTCAGCTGAGGCATGGCAATCTGCTCTGCCACACGAATCAGCTGAGCTAAAAATCAATGGAATAAAGAACGGGAAAGAGCAGGGGCGGGTGGACGGGGCCAGCCAGAGATCGTATTTGCTGGTTCTTGGAACTGAGTCAAAATTTCCACTACCGGTACACCAAAACTAGTCCAAACCAGCTGAATACCACCTCTGGGTGTGACATATAACAGATTCCTCATTTGAGCATAGTTTGAAGGGTTTGTTTGATCTCTAGGACAAATTCTTCCCCATCTGCGGAACTGTCCTTGGTTAAATTCAAAAGGCATTTACTTTCAGAGGCCTCCTTATTTAGCTATTACATCCATTTTTAAAACTTCCGTTGCTGTTTAAATGACAAGGGCAAGAGGCGAGGGATGGATTCTTCAGTTCAGGGGTGGGATTCAAATTTTTTAACAACCGGTTCTGTGGGCATGGCTAGGTGGGTGTGGCTAGATGGGTGTGGCCATGTGACTGGGTGGGTGTGGCTTTTTCGCAGCATCCCCCCCCCATTTTTTTTTGCCTCCTGGGCCTTAGGAAAGCCTCCTTGGGGGAGTGTTTTGCTCCCAGAAGTCTTCTCTGGGGTCCAGGGAAGCAAAAAATAGAGTGCAGAGGGGGTGCACAGCACACACTCGTTTCCCCCACCGCGCCCCTTTTTGCCTTCTGGGCCTCAAGGAAGCCACCTGAGTGAAGCAGTAAGACAGCAAGGGGGATCCCGGCACAGCTGATCATCGGAACAGCTGATCATCAGGAGGGGAAAAAACAAGAAATACCGTAAAGAGTGATTGGGCAGGGGAGAACGCAGACAGCGATGTTGGGGTATGCACGTGTTATTGGGCATGCGTGATAAGCACTGACTGGGCAGGGAGGGGAGGGGCAGGCAGAGAGGGGAGGGGCCAGCCAGGGGCACTATTTGCTGGTTAGCCGAACTGTGCAGAATCATAACAACTGGTTCTATAGAACCAATCTGAATCAGTAGAATCCCACCTACTGCTTCAGTTAAATTCAGTTCAGTTAACCTCCCTTTCCTCTATCCTTTCTAGAAGAGAGTTCCAGTTAAACAAAAAAATTACAGCAGGGAAAGTGAATCAGGTTTTAACAAAAATGGCTTCCTTAGAAAGGTGAGTTTGGTGGGTGAGAGTTTTCCAGCCCTGTTGAGCAAATTCCCTAAAATTATTTGTTTATTTGCTTTAACATTTATTTATTTATTGGACAGATATAGCCACCTATCTGAAACCTTGCTGGGGAATTCTGGGAGTTGAAGTCCAACACTGGATCTGAACCAACACTGTTTTAAGAGTCTTAATTAGGTTAGAATAGTCCCCATTCAAATTAAGTTTCGTACATAGAAATTATTTAAATTATTTCAAAATTATTTATTGGAGTATAGTTGGTGATATGTGGAAACGTTTAACTCATTTGCAAGAGTTCTCGATGATGTTATATATTAGTTCGACTCTTAACTGAACAAATATATAAATGTAATATAGATTTAGTTGCTTTAGCTCACTGGTCGCCAACCAGTGGGCTGTGGGCCGTGTGAAAATTCTGGTGGTCCTCAGAGAAATGTCACCCCCAAATCACCCCCCAAAGCAATTAATCCAGGCTGCACAGGAATACAAGGCTGCACAGCCCACATGGCCTGTGGGAACACAAGGCTTGTGTCGCTTGCATTGCGAAAAAAAAGAGGTAATGAGGGGAGGGGGAAAAGGGCAGTGGGGGGGGGGACTTGCCCCATGCATCCCAGGCATCTCACCTGGCCACCAGACTGCTTATTTTTGCTTCTTTCTTCTACTTTTGGCTGCACGCAAGAAAAGCAGCAAAAGTCTTTCTTTCTCTCCCCCAAACACCGCCAGAAATGAGTCTTTGGGACCCTGCAAGGCAACCTGCTCCAAGAGGTTGCGCCGGCGCCACAAATCTCACAAAGACTAATTTCTGGCAAAATTTGGGGGAGACAAAGAAAGACTTCTGCTGCTTCTGCTGCTTTCCTTGCATGAACCCAAAAGTCTCTCCCTCCCACCCACCCCGAGAACGGAACTGGAGATGGTATCCTGCGATCCCAAATAAAGAATGATTGATTGGTAGGAAAACGGGGTGGGGAATTTTCCTGCAGACTTTCTGGGAGATTTTCCCAGGATCTCTGGTCTGCAGAATTTAAAATTATGAGTTTGGTGGTCCCTGAGGTCCAAAAGATTGGCAACCCCTGCTTTAGCTGATTCTGGCCCAGTTACAGATAAATGCTATCATATTTTTTCAAGATAGTATTAAGTGCAATATTACCTTTTTGTTATTAAACAGATACAACATTAGTTTCTTTTCATTTTTTCTACATATTCGATAAAATCTATGAGCAGTGGTCATTTAGGATGCCTTAAAATCATGGCTATATTACCACTTATTCTTCATGGAAAATATTTAAAAATAAAATAAGTAATATTTTGGGGAAAAGTTAAGGAATTGGTATGGGTTTGGGTGTACACACACATATGCAAACAGATAAACACACAGCTACACAGTAGATAGGTAGGTGAATAGGTAGGTAGATAGAGATGAATCAGATTGGATTGAATTAGACTAGACATAGCAATAGCAATAGACTTATATACCGCTTTACAGTGCTTTACAGCCCTCTCTAAGTGGTTTACAGAGTCAGAATCAATGGTGGGATTCAATTTTTTTTTACTACCAGTTCTGTGGGCGTGGCTTGGTGGGCATGGCAGGGGAACAATACTGTAAAATCTCCAGTCAAAGGTGGTATTTGCCAGGTCTCCGAACTACTCAAAATTTCCGCTACCGGTTTCCCAGAACTGGTCAGAACCCTGCTGAACAGCACCTCTGGTGAGAATATTGCCCGCAACAATTTGGGTCCTCATTTTACCCAGCTTGGAAGGATGGAAGGCTGAGTCAGCCTTGAGCCTGGTGAGATTTGAACTGCCAAGTTGCAGGCAGCCAGCAGTCAGCAGAAGTTGCCTGCAGTACTGCACTCTAAGCACTGCGCCACAGTGACTCTTAAGATGAACAGTGTAGAATAAATTGTATGCTCTAAGAAGGTGGAAAACTGAGTCTATCTTGAGCTGGTCAGGATCGAACTCCTGGCAGTGGGCAGAGTTAACCTGCAATACTGCATTCTAACCACTGCATCACCACTTAGGCTCTTAAGACAAACAGCGTAGAATAAATTGTATATTCTACACCAAATCTTGATAAGCTGAGATCAAATGTGTAGAAGGCCTGCAACAATTGGGGGAAAAAGAGGAACAAGATAGTTGGGAAATAGATCAGAAATTAAAGAAGCAGGGAAAGGGAAAAATAAAAGTGAGATGCAAGAAAATAAAGATAATAGAAAGAACTGATAACTTGGAATCAATTAGATAATATTTTAAAAGCTTATAACAATAGAGAGAGAAAAAAGGAAAATCTCTTCAAAAAAGGAAAAGTTCAGAGAAAAACAAAATAAAAATCTCTTCAAAAAAAGAGAATAATTTATGGTGTTTAAAAGATGCAGCAAAAAGAGATAAAGGGCAAGTCGAAAGGAGTATTTAGCGGGCATAAAACATTATTAAAAACTATAAGTTTCCAAGAGAGAGAAAGAAAAAGGTGGTTGAAAAGTTAATAGATGATGGAACTCCAAAGAGACCAAGAGATGATGGATAGCGATAAAATAAACTAGTAAAATGGAAAAGTAGAAAATATAAATAGAGAAAACAGTAGCATATATACAAATTGAAAAATAGAATTTAGTTTATTTAAAAATAAGTTAAGGATAGAAGGTGGAAGTTTAGGATTAGGGAATTTAATTGTATTATTAATATTTATAGTGTGTTAAAATGTATTGTGAATTTCAAACTTCTTAAGGATTAGAAATTATGAGGAATTGGAGATGTATCCCCAGGATCGATTGAATAATGCTAATATTTGGATTGATTAGTAGTGTTGGATATTTGGGATATTGAAAGCATGGTGAAAAAAGGAGTAATTTTTAAAATATCAAATTTAAGATAAGGGATAATAAATAATGGAGAAAAGAAATGTGGATTACAGGAAACTAGCTACGATAATGTCTGAGAGGCTAAAAAGGATATTAAGTAGAATCATCCATCCTGACCAAAATGGGTTTCTTCCGTATAGGCAGATGAAGACCAATACAAGGATAATTTTGAACGTTTTAGAATTCTATGAACGCACCCAAATAGAACAATGGCACTGATGTTTCAGTGCCAGAAGGCCTTTGATAATTTGAATTGAGATTTCTTATTAATCAACTGATCGGTATGAAATTTGGTGAAAACTTTCTGGGATTTATCAAAACAATCTAAAAAACACAAACAGCAAAATAATAATGGAGAAACTACAGATAGCATAAGGATAAGTAAGGAGGTGAGGCAAGGATGTCCCCTTGTTGCAGGAAATTATGAGACTCAGACCTTGGAATCCAAAAATAAGTTTTTATTTGCACAAACAGGTTCAGAGTATTTTAGTGAGAGTCACTTCTGAACAAATTTCTTATAGAACAGCACATGCCTATATACTTCTTCAGAAGGGGCAAAACACAGAAATATAACTTGTCAGTCATTCATTGGTTACTTGAAACACAGCTTTCCCCCTCCCCTGCTGCTAGGCTAGGATGGATGGATGTCACAAACCCATCTTGCTAAACTCCCTAACTTGTGGTTTTGTTACAAGCGAGACAAGGTTTCTTGCAAATGTGACCGATAGATGATCCTTGTGGTTTGGCTTTTTACACTTCCTTGTTCTTTCTCTTGCTAATACCACATATTTCACTATCTATAAAACTTGTATCATTATTTCTCTAAAATTAATATATTTTATGTCCTGCCTTATTCCCCCCTTTGAGACTTTATTTAACAATTAAATCTCACTTTTATGATGTCTTAGATTAGCCCTTGCACATATGTTAGGCATGACGTATGACAAGATTAATGCTTTTGCAAAAGTAGGCAATTACAAATCCTTCTCAGATGAGTCAAAGTTGGAAAAACGGAGAACTTTCTTTAAACAATACAATTTATAGTTTGTTTCCCTTTTGAAGCATATTTGTGGTTCAGGTGTTCTATCGAGACAGGGAAGTTTGACCACACTGAACAGGAAACTCTTAGCTAGGCAACTGAGCAAGAAACATGTTGCGGTTTCTTCAACTCAGATAAGCACTTTAAACATATAAGCTTTTAAAATTTGGGACACCTCTAGGTCATCTAGTCCAACCCCCTTTTTGCTAGATAAAAATCCTTTAAAAGAATTCAAAAAAATATATCTTTCCACCACACACTCTATCACTAACACATTAACATCTGTTTTACTTGTTCTTATTTTCAGCCGTACATAGAGGGTCAGCTTCCGGAGTAATACCAGTAAGGCCTCTTCTGCCCCATATGTTGCCTGACCATTGCCAGTAGGGCAGTTATAGGGGGCGCTTCTTCAAGTGTACCACTCATTAGCTTCACCCATGAATCCCCTAATTGACTTGAATCCCCTATATTATTTCTCAAACTAGTACTTATGACAGGGGGTCTTCCAAACATCATTTCAAAAGGAGATAACCTAATTCCTTTTATTACTTTTGATTCTTTTAAACTTTGATAGTACCATATCTCTTATAAAGGGAATCAAACAGGAGAAACATTAGAACCCAGAATCCTAATACAGCAGACTTTGTTGAACCCTTCACCATCCCAATTTGCTACGCTCCAAAAATTTTCTTATTAGGGCTAGCTGGTTTTGCACAATGTTATTTTCCACACTTTCCTTTGGCTAAGGTTCCCAAGACTGCAGTCACCTCTTTTAAGGGGGTTTCTACCACAGTTTGTAGTCAAATTTAATTGTATGTCCATTAGCTCCCAGAGTGCCATCCTCCACCTACGTGTAGGCCCTTCTGGAGTTCCAAGCATCTGGGACATCACTGGTATCTATGGATTCAAGGGCTCTTTGCTTTCCAAGCCTGAATTCACTCCTTCGATAGGGATTCCCCTATGTTGCTTTATGAATCTCATTACACAGGGTCCAAACCACCCAGTGGGGAGGCTACTATAGGCATATTTTTCACATTCCCTATACATAACTTCTGGGGTAGTCCAGTTGCTATTATTTGCTTCATGATTCTTAC